TAATTCAAATAAAACAAAATAATAAGAGATTATTTGCACAAACATCATAACTTTTTATAGGTGTATCGTACGACTTTTTGATCAACATAGATAAAAAGGGTCGAGCTACGTAAGTTACTAGAATAATCACAATTATAATTTTGAGATAGAACGGTTGTGACCCACAAACTAAATTGTCATTCTCCAAAACGAATCACATCTAATATTGATTAATTTATGACAAAGTATGATTATTGCTAATTAATTAAATCATAGTTAGACTGTTACTAATCTAAAGCTCATTCTGAAGTCTTTAAATACAAGTTTTAGTAGTGTTGTCAAAACGGGTCACTTAACCCAACCCAACCCCACCCGACCCATCAAGGGTTGGTCACTTAACGAGTCAACATAACCCTACTCACTTACTAATGCGTTGAAAAAATTTAAACCTGACCCGACTCACCATGGGTTGATGGGTTAAACGGGTTGACTCATTAGCTCACTTATAGCCTGTTCACTTGAATTGATTTGGGAGAGAGTGATTTAATGAATTTGAGAGGATTTGAATGTAAATTTTTTATTGTTTATTTGAGAAGGTAAGTGAGAGTGGATTTGGAAGTAAATTTTTTTAATTTGTCGCAGCAATCAAATCCTACTCTAATTCTCACATATTTTACTTCATAATTAAGACGACAAATGTTGGACAAATATTCGAACCTTCAACAACTTATAACAAAGTGAAGTGTTGACCTCGACTTTATACCCATATTTTTTTTTGTCATATTCTAAATAAGAGAAAAACATTTTCAACTTATTGCAATTAATTTTAACACTATTTTACAAGGGTTATTATGTTAGGGGATATCATTAAAATGTTACTAGCTATTTTATTATTTGTAATTTTAAGGATATAAATTAGTTAACAAAAAAGATAGATGGAGTGTTTTTGTTTTGATTTTAATATATAAATAAGTTGAATGAACAGGCGATGTAGAAAGAGTGATAAAAAGAGAAGTTGGGAATGTGAGAGTTTCGAAGAAGCACTCGTAGGGTCTGAATCTTAAGTTGAAACTGTCAAAGCTTAAATAATGGAGAAGCTAGGGATCACGGAAGAGAATAATAAATCATCCTGAATGTCAGTGCATGAACACGTGTTTGCTTGGCCCATCTCTTCACACATTTTTGTCCTTTCAACTTCCCTCTTATGCCCACATTTTTATCATCTTTTTTAACAACTTCTCTCCAATTCTGCCTACAGTAATGGAGGATATTCTCGTGTCTCTCTAATTTTTTTTATAAAAAATCATTCAAAAATCTTTTTTCTTCAATTCTTAGAGACTATATGCAATTTTTAATATTTATTCCACTTTCTAAAAGAATTTCAAAATAATATTTTTTATATATAAGAATTGAGCATAGTTTAACAACTCATACTTATTTAAAAGTTGTTTATTTGGTCAAATAAGTTAGGTGTGTGTAATTTTCAACAGTAATCATGGTTAATAAAATTGACTTTTTGATCTAGATGGAGAAAGTGAATTGATGGATACTGTTTTTGCGGTTCTTAATTTCAAGGTACAGCAGCCACATATTTTTCTCCATTTTCTAGCTGCTAACGTTGGATTTGCCTGTTCTGTCGGTGCTCATTTTGTTCATTTTCGAAAACAAAATAAAATTTATTTGCACTGATAAGAAAATTCAAACATGGTAGGTCCATTTGAACGACCCAGAAGAACTCGATCTTAACTAGGTTCTTCATGTTTCGCGGTTCAACTTCATGGCCTTATCAATGTTCCGCACATGACTATATAATGTAATAATTGTTATTATTCACTGTTATCACGTACGTTCTTTTTTAGTTTCTTTTAAATTAATCAAATAATTACAGAAAAATAAAAGTATTTTAAACATTGAATAAATATTTTTTAATACAAATTTAATTAAACGATTTAATGTTTCTCATAATTATATAATTGGTTTCTACATTTCCACTGATTTGAAAGCAGAGATGATCATTCCTGAAATACATCATTGGAATCGGAAGGTAATTATCATTTTCTTATGATTAATAATGTTATCCCATACAGTTGTATTATTATAATTTTTTTTTCCGTTACTTGATGACGTGAAAGAAGCATTACCATGTTGAAAGGGCCATCTACTAATATAAAGGAACTAATAATTTAATCTTTTGTCATAAAATTAGGTCCACTTTCAAATTAAATATTATACTTTGAATAATAAATTTTAAATTATTATTTTTTTGTAGTAATGTTATTGAAGAAAAAAAATTATAGAGATATCTAATTGTTTTTGGTTCCACTACACTTGATTTTCTTTTCTTTGTCTTTCACATCATATATCAAAATTATACTTTCTTTCTCCACCTTTTTCCTTTTCATTTTATTTCTATCATACCCACTGAAATAGAGTGAAGATTAATCAACACTCAAAAGTAAAGCACCCATTTATTGAGTTGGCAAGCATCAAAAATTGCCCAAAGACAAGAAAATTGACAAGTAAGAGTGGAACGTTAGTATTGACAACCGTAGAACGTACACATCCACGTATGATTAGTAAATGTTAACATCAATACCTTTCTAATTAATTGCTCCAAAGGAAAATTATCTAATAATACTTTTATATACTCACTCTGTCTCATGATAAATATCGTGGAAAAGAAAAAGATAAATTTTAGAATACTCAAAAGTACTATTTTAGTTTACTCAATAATGTTTATTGTTATCTTTATTCATGTTGTAGGAAAAAGACTATGAATAAATTTGTTTATTTACATCTGAAAGCGTTCATCGTTTAAAAGTTAATGTCAATAATAATTTATAAATGAGCTTATTCTTTACTTTATCTAAATATCTATTAAAGATAAAATTATTAGTTATTATAAAAATCATAATAGACTTATAAAAGTGCCTATATAACTATTAGACATTCTTTCTTTCTTCAATATACCATAATACTTTTTTCAAGACAAAATAACAAGGTGTCACCTAGAAAATTTCTCACCATATGTCGATTGTAATGAAGGAACAAACAATTTCTTAATATTATGTTGTAAGGAAGAAAAAGAAGAAGAAAGATATAGATGAAATAAAATGAAAATTGTATTTATTTCTTTGAAGAGAAAGTAAAAAGAAAATCAAGAAAAGTTGTCATTTCTAATAATTATAGTTTGATTAAAATCAAGTAATTCATTTATATATAGATGAAAGAGAGATCATTTTGGAAAACATAAATTTCTTTTATGTTTGCACTGTTTTCTGACTTAGATAATGACATTTTGTTGTCAATTTATTTGCGAAAATACTTTCTTACTCTCAAATTCTTCCTTTAGTGACTTTTCATTTTATACACTTCGTTTTCTACATTTTTCAAACAAAAAGACCCTGTGAGTCCGTAGTGGGAACATTTAAATTACGATTATAAAAATATAAAATTGTTGACACTTTCACCTATTTACCAACGTATTTTTCATCTACGGTTCTATACTGAAGGCGTGAGAGAAAATATCATTCTTATAAATGAATATCAAACTGGAAAGTCATCTCTAATAATAAATATTATAGCCTAAAAATTGTGAGAAACGATTTAAGTGTGAAAGAATCAATTTTGTGGGCAGAAATTTTTGTTTACATAAACTTTTGAAAGCTGAATTCTCACACCAGCAGGCGACAAAAACAGTACAAGATATTGAATATGTTTTTTGTACAAAAGTTACTTTCGTAAGTTTGGAACAAGGAATCGGTGTCAGTAGAGAGACATGTGTAAAAGTGGGCACTAGATGTAATGTAATGCAAAGGCATGAAAGAGCAGAAAAATGAGATCCTCTAGAGAGAGAGAGAGACATTACTGTCGTAGCAGAAGTAAGGAAGAAGCATGCGTAACAAGATAGAGAAAATAACAAAAGTAGAAGGTTAAACCGGTTGAACATTATGGTTTTGTTTTGCGTAAGTTGTGGGACAGACACGGTGAGAGGTTCCATTTTCACACAGTGTTCTAATGAAATCAGGAAACTACCAATAAAGCATTAATAATTATGGTGGATTGGCCTCAACAACCAAAAGCAGCCTCCACCATTCAAATACCATATCCCAACTCTACAACATAGCACGATCTTATCACTATCTTAGAACACTACACTTCACCAAACGTAACCTCACACACCATCTACAAATTAATATCTTATTCCTCTCTTTTCTTTTCTCACCTACACTACAAATTCAGACACTCTCCCTTCAAACCACCAACAACGAAAGACCATGTCGGTGAAGGAGTGCGACCACCACAAGGGAAAGAAGAGGAAGAACTTCCAGCGAGTCTTCTGGTGCATAGTGGTCTTCCTCTTCCTTGTCTTGCTCGCTATTCTTCTCATATGGGCAATCCTCAGACCCACCAAACCTACCTTCACTCTTCAAGACGTCACCGTTTACGCCTTCAACGCCACCGTCGCCAACTTCTTGACATCCAGTTTCCAAGTCACGCTCATCTCCCGCAACCCTAACGACCACATCGGAGTCTACTACGACCGCCTCGAAACCTACGTCACTTACCAGAGCCAGCAGGTGACCTTCCGCACCTCCATCCCTCCCACCTATCAGGGCCACAAAGAGGTCAACGTTTGGTCTCCGTTTGTCTACGGCACCAACGTCCCCGTCGCACCCTTCAACTTCCAAGGCCTCAGCCAGAACCAGGCTGCGGGTACCGTCCTCATCACCGTCAGAGCTAACGGCAGGGTCCGCTGGAAGGTCGGCACCTTCATCTCCGGCCGCTACCACCTCTACGTCCGCTGCCCCGCCTTCATCTCCTTCGGCGCCCGCACCAACGGCATCGTCGTCGGCGAAAACGCCGTCAAATTCCAGATCATCCAACGTTGCTCCGTCAGCGTTTAAACTCGCCGCAAAAATTTACCAACTCATTCTCTAACACACTCTTTCAAACACACCTTTTCATCGGAAAAAACTTACATACAGTATTATGAATACCATTGATGTTGTTCTTCGATTGTGGTCGGAGTTTCACCTTTTACAATGCATTTACATTGAAAAACAACATCAACAATACTGTAAACAAGTTTTACCCTTTTATTACCACCAAAAAAAAAAACTAAATTTAGTGATGTACATTATTTTACATCAATAATTTAGTGACGAGCTTTCAAGAAAACATAAGCACAAAATTTCGTCACTGATTTTAAAATTTTTTGAAAATATCACAATTTTACTGTCTCTTAACATGTTGAAGATGTTACGGTATATATTTCGATCAATGAAAGAATAATGAAGAGTGTGTTAAAAGAATGTATTAGAAATATGTTGGTAATGTTCTCCCTTAGTGTATTTTTATACGTATGTATGTATTCTTCCTCTGTTTTTACTGTACGTAAAGTCGTGTATGAATTGGTCACTAGATGTTTGTCTTCTACTTTTTGCTATGTGAAACAGATCAAAGAGTCGGATATAGCAAAACTACCAGATGCAAAAAGGAGATTAAAAGTAAGTTGAGGTACGATGGCAATAAAATTTCTTGTTTCAATTTGGATAAGAAAGAGAGTGATGAAGCATGGATGGATTCTGAGTCATTATCTTCTCTGTAATATTTTATTGTTTTTTGTGTATGTGTGTGCATATTCACAAGCCATATTCCATCTCGCTTTCTTTATGTGCAGGAAATGGACCACTTTAGTATTATTTGAGTGTCACTTTTATCTTCTTTTTTTCTTGCGGTTAGTGATTGAATATTCATTTGGGTAGATGCACCAAGTTTCAGGTTCCTTTTGGTGTATAGTGTTATTTAGGATAGAAAAAGGTTTGGAAGAAAGGTGGTGGCATGGTAAGGGAAAATGAAAGTGCAAAAGTTAGTGAAAATTTTAGTGTAATGAAAAGAGATTTAAGAGTAAAGGTGAAGAATTATTGAGGTGGTTGTGGGTGCCTAACTTTTGGAGGAATATTATTGTGGATGTGTAAATTGATGCACACACGGCATGGTGATGGTGGTGGTCCTTTTCAAACACCATCACCTACTTTGGCTACTAATAATATCAACAAAGAAAGTTTTTCTTCCATTAAATCAAAGTTAAGATGACACGACTCGAGGACCTTTTTACTTGACGGATTCAGTTTTTTGTGATTTTATAAATATTAAAGTAAGATGATAAAAAATTGGGTTGTACAAAAAGTCTTACTTATTAAATTATGATAAAAATTATTCAACATAACAATTTTTTTAATATTTTTCAATAATTTGTTTTACATGATAAATATAATGTGCGATTCTTTATTCACTACCAAATGATTATATTATTGTCTTTTGCCAAAGGTAATGGACGTCCGAATTCACTAAAAATGAGTTGTGAATTATAAGAAAATGATTATTTTTATAAAGAATTTGAAATATTTTTATGATAAAATATATATTGCTGAAGAAAATTTAAAGTGCATTAAAATTTTAAAGTTTTGTTAGAATAGTTAGATTGTTTAATATTAAATAGTTTTTAATTCTATTTATGAATTAAAAATTAAAAATTACTTTTTTTTTTCTTTATACTATATTTTTAGTTTGATTTTGAACGGAACATATTTTACCTAATCAAAATTGAGACGTAATTGAAATAACATTTTTTTTATTATTATTATTATTAATAATAATAAAAAGAAGAGTTATTTTTTATTTAAATGTTGTTATAGCACTTGTGATACCTGTTAAAATGGAATCACGATAACGAATAAAATGACATACAACAAAACAAATAATTTGAGTTTCATTCAACATCAGTATCAGCTATATTAAATAATACTTTATATTTCTTTTAGTTGAACAAAAAACTTTATATGTCGTTTTTTAATTTTTTTAAAAATCCATTCACTCAGTAGAATATAATTTAATAAAATAAATCGAGTTAAAGAATAGTCTTAAATAAACAATATCTAAAAAATTTATGTACAAATACTAATGTGGATAAAATAAAAAAATTGGACATGTAATATAGGAAATTAGTAAAGAAAAAAAATAGAAAAATAGGAAATTTACGACATCATTGTTTTTTTATGTGAAAAATAAGACAGGTTTTATGAAAATAAAAAAAATGGGGTGAGAGAGGCTCGAACTCTCGACCTCAGGATCACTCAGAAGCTATGAGACCTACGCGCTAGCCAACTGCGCCACCACCCCCTTGTTTGTTAATTAACAAATATTGTTATATATAATTAATATAGAACTGGAAGAACGACGTACCAAATGAGTAATTTTTCAAAATCTAGCCATTTTTTATATTTTTTCAAAACATTGCATTCTTTTAGGAATTTTTTCTAAATCAGGCTTTCTTCCTAACTAAAAGGCATTATCACGTAATGAGCAAACAAGCAGAGAGAGACGAAATTAGGTTAATTCTTTATAAAAAGTCTAATATTACTTTTACAAATCATACACAAAAAATATAATTAATGCTCTTTTTTAGCGTGGGCTGGAGGAAAAAGTTGTTTTTAGAAATTACACATTACTTAAAATTTAATTTCATTAATGGTATAGCATAATACCAACTTAAGTCATATTATGAGTTGCTTGATTTAGATCTAATAATAAGTCTAGACTTGCATTAATTTAAAAGTTTGGGACCATTTAAGAAGTTTGGTAAGTAAATTAAATGGTTCGAGTCATACCATACATCAACTTGCAAATTTTTGTGCAAATAAAAAAACCTAAACGAAGAGTAAACTTTGAAAATTTTCTAGTTTAGGTTTAACATGATATTTAAATATGAATATATGTAATTGTTCAAGTATAGGGTTGTTTAATTAGTGCTTGAGATTACCTATTCCTAACGCTAAAGTGTAACTTAACCTAATCTATATCTTAGGGTTCTTTAACCAAATTTAACTCCTTCAAAGTTTAAACTTGTCTTGAAAAAAATAGTTATTACAAGCAAATTATTAATGAAGAGGTTAATATTCACCGACAGACCAGCCAGTTCAATAAGACAAGAATGTTAAAGATTAAAGGAACTTTCTTTTGATTTGTCTAATCACCATCACTAACGATATCGATGCATTATGAATAAGATGATGTTTTGAAATATGGTATTCAAATTAGGAATTAGACTATTTAAGTAAAAATATTTTAAGAAAGGGTATATATGTATTATTTATTTATATACATATAAATCTTAAATTGCAGTTGTTATGAAACAGATAAAGTAATAATTTATACATCCTCCATCTCAAGGTAACTACAGTTAAAGGTTCTCTTTCATATAATAAAAATAACAAAAAATGTATTATTTTTTGAAAAAAAAAATATGAGCATACTCTCATTATTTTAATAAATATAAAATAATTGATTTAAGGAAATATTAAGTAAAAATAACGCTTTATTAAAAAAGTTATTAAGAAGAAATTAAACAGTTAAAAGTGTATTAATTGTGAGAGAGATGAAATAGTTTGACTCTTTTGAAGATGTAAAAGTCAACATTGTTGTGATGTGGTGTAAATGGGCTGGGTACTTTCAAAGGTGCGCAATTAATTGTTGAGTGATGGTCCCTTCATCGATCCATCTTTTCCATACACTTCTCCAATCTTTTTTTAAATTCTAAATTTATCCTTTTTACTTTTTACTTTTACTAATTTTACTTTTTATTTTTTAAAATCCTAATCTCAATCCTCTCTCACTTTCACTTTCTCTTTCACTCTGAGCGGCAAGTCCCCACCTCCCATTGTCACTTTTTCTCTTATAGAAAAAGCAAATTCTGCATGGTATAAATTTAAAACATTTATAACTTCTGATGAGTTTTGAAGTATATGATTCCATAATATAATCTGCTAAAAATTTTTTTCCTGCTTTCTTGTCTTTACATCCGTGCTTACAATGGTACAATGAAAGAGAAGTATGTTTGTTGAGTACAAAATAAAAAGTGAATAAAATAAAAAATATTTAGTTCAGTTTATTTTCTGCTTTTTCTATCAAATTTTATGTTAACGATAGTGAAAATTAAAAGAGAAAGAGAAAGTGACAGTAGGAGATCAAGGCTTGCTGCGGAAAGTGAAAGAAGAAGTGAAAGTGACAGAAGATTAAGATTAGCGTTTTAAAATATAAAATGTAAAATTGATAAAAGTAAAAAGTAAAAAAAGATAAATTTAGAATTTAAAGAAAATTGAAAAAATGTAGGGAGAAGATGGGATGACGAAGGGAACATCTCTCTTTATTATCTTACAAGTACTCTGGGCCTTGGGCCTCACTGCTACACGCTTTTTTCAAATGATAGGTGTGTACATGAAAATGATATTTCTTTGGAATAAAATCTTTAGTAAGTTTCTTTCGAATAAATTCATTTTCAGAATTTAAGAAAATGGCTCATCCAAAATATAATATATTCACTATTTTGGACCGGTGGGACGAACGGATTTTCTCTAATCGGAATTTATTGCATGTTATTCAAATTAATTATACTTATATAATTAATTTATGATAAATTTTTGTGATGTATTTAAATTAGAATAATAATGATAATAATGAATTATAGTAAATTTTATTACAATAATATAAATTATTTTCAAATATTTGTTATTATTGTTTTATATTGTATTTTAATTTTTATTATTATTATATTAGTATTATTATGTTATTATATTATTATTCAATATTTTTACGTATTATAATATATTATTATGTAATGCATAATAATTACAAAATTAAAAATTTATATTTAATAAATACTTAGGGAAACTTAATTTTTTTCATTGAATCACGGTCAGAATTCTTTTTAGTATTTAATAAATACTTAGGGAAACTTAATTTTTTTTATGCTCATCATAACTATTTATGCTGATAAGAGCACTTTTTTATTTATATTTTAATTTTTCTTGTTACATTATTAGTCAAAATGTTTTTTTTATCAATGGAAGACTATTTAGTAGATGTAGACTATTGTTCGATTGAGGTCTTTAGAGGTTATATTTTTCTATCTATTGTGATTATTTTTTATCATCAACACATATATGTTATTCTTTAATACGGTTCACTAAGTTTCCCTCTTCACATAAATCAAAAGGTTAGAAAACAAATCTTTCAACTAACAATGTTAACTTAAATAATTGTGATTTATATATCACCAGAAAACAATTTTGGTCCATGTTAAATAAAAAAAACAAATTCATCAATATTAATTAAAAAATATTTGTAAACTTTAACAAAATAAATAATATCAATTAATATCAACTAAAAATCACTAATGTTGATGTTTTTAATAATTATTTAATATTTAAATAAATTTTAGCATTATAGGATGTAATTCAGCTTAGACTGTTATAAAAATTGTGTCGTTACACAAATATTGCAAAATATCTAGTGTTGATTTCATTGTGCACATTCCACAAGAATTGGAACATTGCAACTCCGAGTCTTGTGCTTCCATCAATTTTGTTGCTGTCAATGTTTATTTTAGGTTGCAATGTTTTATTTTATTAAAAATATTATATTCCCTAACAGATATTTTGGATAAATAGAGTACTTCTTCCTTCGCTCCAAAACACATCATCAAAAATCATTCTTCTCTCGTTCTTTCTTCTTTTGGTTTCATTCTTTCTCTTTTCT